TAGCACCTTGAATAACAAAAACAGAAAACTTCATGTTGAAAAAATAAAAAGTAAAAGTTTACCTTCTCAGGAATATTTGTACCAGCTCTTTGTTGCACCTCTTCTTCTTATGATTATTTTTTCTACACACAGTGAATCTCTTGATAAGCCCCTTTTGTGCTGCTATTTGTTGCCACAAACCTCATGTCATTAGCATCAGCTCTTCTTTTCATTGTTGCCCTACCCCTCTTTTTCACAACATCAGGAGGCTGAATTGGGCCCATTCCAAATTCTTCATATTCAATCAACCCTGGAACTGGGAATATCATATGGTATACATCCTGATATACATGTCCTTCTTGAAGAATTCAGACACATAATCAGAAAGAGGGAACCTATGATAAGAGATGCATGCCAGTGCATGCAATAGGGGTACCCAACCAGTTGAAACATGCCACATGTACAGCTCTTTGCTCTCAGTTGGACTATATGGTTGTTTACTCCATGAATCACCTCATACTTGTCTTCTCCAGCACAAGTAGGGAAACAATTCATGCTGAATTCTCTTTGCTCTTCAATTTTCCTTATTGTGTTTGGACAAATATCCTCTAAGTATTTTTCTGTTCCTGCTCTTTTCACCTGAATCCTTGCCATCATCCTTCTTCTGATCCACTCAAACATGTCTACAATAGGCATGTCCCTAGCTTCCAGAATATAATTGTTGAAGGACTCAGAGATATTATTCACAATGACATCACAAACTGCATTAGAAGAGAAGTAGCACATTGCCTAATGTTCTTGAGGACAGCCTTCAACCATTCAAATGAAGTCACCTTGCCATCCTTCTTAGGGACAAGCTTTTAGATTTGACTCATGCACCTCAGATGCTCCTTCACATCATATGTGCTAACTGCCTTCCAAAATCATTTTCTTAGTTCTAGATCCCCCCACTTATGTTTAAAATTGTTGTACACATGCTTCAAACAATATATGTGTTCTGTCCCCTCAATTTCACTCACAGCTTCAAGCAAACCCTTCTGTTTGTCTGAAACAAAAGTCCATTTTCTCTCCTTGTATGGATCTACATCTCTCAGTAGCCTTTCAATGAACCACCTCCAAGAATCTGTCTTCTCAACTTCAACATATGCCATTGCAATTGGTAGCATATTGTCATTGTCATCCCTACCAATTGCTGAAAGTAGTTGACCACCATGAAGAGTCTTCAGAAAACGTCCATCAGGCCCTATAATTGGCCTACATCCAGTCAAAAATGTCTGTCTCATTGCAGCTAAGCAAACATACATCCTCATGAACTTTAGAGGAGAAAAATCATTGTTCAGCTTCAATATTAGAGAACTATCAGGATTGTACTTGACTACTGTGGAGCAGTAGTCATATAGCGTCCTATACTATTCCCCAAAGTCAACCTTCAACAGAGAAAGGGCATACACCTTGGCCCTGTATGCCTTGTGCAGACTGACATCAACCCGACAATGCCTTTTGATTTTACTTTTCAGACTTGCCAAAGTCTCACTAGGATTGTCCCTCAGAGTACCTACCATCCTTTTCCCAAGATATTTGTAGTTTGTATGTGTGTTTTCTGTCCTGTAAGCACATGTGTGTTTTTCTTTCAAAGTCTTCATCTGAAATGTGGACAAACCTCTAATAATTGAGGCCCTCAAAAACCAGTCACACCAACTTTTGTATTATGCTGTGATGAGCTTCGCTTCATTCTTGGGAAACCTCAAATCATATCCTTTTCGAACAGACTAATCTCTAATCACATCCTTGAATTTTGCTCTACATGGAAATTTCTGACCAACTTTCAGCTCAAACCTTGACATATCAGTACTACCATTCCATTCATCAGCCTCTTAAAAGCAATTTCCATCATCCTCTGCCTCACTGTACCAATCTTCTTCTCTAGCCCTTTTCAAACCTTTAGCTTCTTCTCTTGCTTTTTTTTTCTGCTTTCTTCTTTATTTCCTCCATTCTCTTTCCCTCTTATGTATCTTCTTAGCATGATCATGACCCCTCTGTTGGAATATGTCATCATCATCAGGGCCTTCTAGATCCTCCAATTCTTATTCAGATAATTCAGAGGATTCACAACTACCATCTACTGATTGATCCTCTGAATCTCCAAAATGATGTTATGTCCCCTCAGCTTGTTGTTCTGCCCTCTCATGAAGTTGTTCATCTTCCTGGCTAACTGTCTGAGATCCCTCTTCACCATGTTGTGCTTCACCTTCATTAAGTGTCTCATCTCTCTGGCCAGCACCATCATGTGTCTTTTCTGTAGGATCCACCTCATGTGAACCAATATCATCATCATCTTCTGTAGGATCCACCTCATGTGAACCAACACCATCACCATCTTCTGTAGGATCCACCTCATCATCCCCATCATGCGAACCAGCATAATGTCTCTTTTCTGTAGGACCTACCTCATGTGAACCAACATCATCACCATCTTCTGTAGGATTCACCTCACCAACACCATCTTGTGAACAAGCATCATGGTACGATTCTTCTTCAACTGATTGCAAATCATCCTCATGTTGTGCTTCTATATCACTCTGTTGTGGTGATGTTTGTTGGTCACCATACATGTCTATTCGAATATGTTCTTGAGTATATGGATATTCAAGGAGTGGGATCTCTTCTTGTGCATCCATCAGATTCCCATCAATGTCCAATTGTAAATCTTCAAAATAAAGTGGGATAACGTATTGCCCTGTATACTTCTTCACCAACTTCAAAATATCACTGTCACTGGCAATCTTCATGATCTTCTTTGTTGTTTGTAGAGTTTTTCCAGGCTTATGTGAAAACATTTCCACATTGGATGATTTGCCACCTACCTTCCTGTAAACATCCATTATCCCATACATAGACAACCTGTCCATATCATAGTAGTCAACTGCAACTCTTTGGCCACCAAAGTAGTGCATAAATGGCTCTCATTTTATCACTCCACCAACTCTAACGTCAAATACAATGGCCACATTCTGCAAATCAAGAAATATGATATGATTAAAATATGAAATCAGGGAGCACAACATAAAAATAATACGTTATGAATGAACACTTTCTATGCAAGAGGGACCACATCATACTCTACAATTAAACAAAGAACAAAGACCATATCATACAAGGACCCAAATTCTTCTTACAAATAGCATCAATAATTTTCAGATTAAACAATTTCACAATGAGCACAAATTCAACATACAGATAGGATAAATTTAACAACCCTAATTTTCAAATCATAAAACCCTACAAACAGCTTCAATACTTCTTATATCATAATATATGCATCAATAGTTTCTATACAAAAGGGATTACACGATACCTTTACAATTAAACAAAGAACAAATACCACATCACACATGGACCATAAATTCTTCCAACAAACAATATCAATACTTTTCAAATTAAACCATTACACACAAGGACCACAATTTGACCTTCAGATAGTATAAAATAAATCACCTAATTCCCAAATCAGAAAGCCGTAATTCCAAAATCAAAAGCATGAAATTGACTAAAAACCTTAATTTCTAATACAGAAGCTATCGACATTCTCTAATTTTGAAATCAGAAGACCCTAATTTCTAATAACGAAGCTATCGACACTCCCTAATTTCCAAATTAGAAAACCCTAATTTTCAAATCTGAAGCATGAAAGTTGATAGATGAACCTTAATTTCCAAATATGAAGATATCGAATTTTTCTAATTTCCAAATGAAGCAATCGACTTTCCCTAATTTTCAAATCAGAAGCACGACACTTGACAAAAAATCTTATTTTCGAAACCACATAACATAAGAACCCTAATTTTAGGAATGCAAATATTGGCTTTCAAGGTAATAACCTTTAATCGTCGAGGATTCAAAAAGTACCTTATGTGCCATCGATACTTTTAATGTCTTCGAGAAGAATGTCTCTGCAAATGGAGAACCTTAGCTTTAGAATATCGAAGACTACTCCTCCAATCGGCTTCAACATTCAAGATAAATAACAGTTCTGTGGTGCGCCGTCGATACTTTTACAAATTAATAGTTGAAAATCAGCAAAATTTTGGAGAATTGTGATGATGTAATTTGGAATTTTATCGAGAGAGAGAGAGAGAGAGAGAGAGAGAGAGACTTCGAAGTTCGAATATTTTATTTCAGATGGGTGGGCCTTCTCAAATGACAAGGGCATAACGGGATTTTTAACAAGAGAGTTTGACGCAATTTTTGAATTACAAGGGAAAACACACATATTTAGTATAATACAGAGGGATTTGGTGCAATTAACCCTTAATTTATAAGTATTATTTAATATTATTTAACTACGCACTAGTTTATTTACAAGTGAATTATACAATATGAATTAAAAAGGTTATTATAATGTTGAAGAGGTAAATTGCACAAGTAAGAATGTCATTTTAAATATAATAATAATATAATTTTTTAATAATTATTTAATATTAAAAAAAAGTACGAATAACTTTTTTATTAGCACTGTGTAGTAAACGAGTTTTGTACTCAACTAGTATGTAATTACTTCAATTGATAAATATACATGTCACTAGATGGTTTTTGACGAGTTGTATTTGTGGTTGACTGGTTGTTGCTCTCGGGCTTCATTCCGAATTCTGATCAACGCTCTCAATAAGCACCACAAATTGGTCTTATATTCCGAAACAACGTATGTTCTCGAAACTTCTGCTGGGGTAGTCTCTTCAAAATGGATGGCATACAACATGTAAAATCCAAGTAAAATTGAAACAACTAAGAATCTTTCACGCTTCACCATATAATCAAACTATTAAATTTAAATTTGTCGAATATCAGATACAAATCTTAAAAAAAAAAAAAATATCACCCACATCTGGTGTCGAGAAATTACGAATGAACGCATATTCTTGTGGGTAATTTTCACAATTTAGACGACACTTGAACCTGCACGAACTCTCAGCATATCCGTTCTCTTACTTCTTTCCATAGCATCCACCAGCCAATTAACACTTTCTTTAATCCCGAGTCTGTCGTAAAATTCAAATTCATCATGTTGATTTGGATAGATATCGCCCTATTGGTGGGGCCTGACTTAACCTCGGACAGCACAATTAAATTGTCCAAAGAAGGGTCATTTAGAGAAGAATGTGCTTACCCATCGATAGCTGAAACAGCTTGATACGTATAAACTCTCTCGTCAAGTTTCTTGAGGTCCAAATATTGAGAGAGTTCATCGACCGACACAGCATCTTCGAGGTCCTGCCACACCCATTTATTTGACAAGTCATCCAGTGGCATAGTTACCATTTTCAGTAACATTTGTATTTACTGATTTATTGGGAATTGGCAGGTAAAAAGATGGTACACTACAAAATCCACCTTTGAGCCAATATGCTAAATTACCAAAATTGAAATCAATAT